CCAGGAGCGGCCACTGCACTCCAGTCTGGGTGACCGAGTGAGACTCCAACTCAAAAAAAAAAAATTGCTTAAAAAGAACACTATATTGTTTCTGTCCTCTTAGGTTAAATTCAAATGGGAAAAGTGCCCTTACTACCTAAGAATCTGCTAGCTTTGTGTGGAATTTGGCCTAGTTTCAGCTGTAAACTGGGTTAGCTTGACCAGCAGCACATGCACATCTTGGAACCTTCCTTCATGATGCTGGTGGAGAGTGATGCTTCGAGATAGATTGAGGTTAACTAAAAAACTGTAAGGCACTTTTGCGAATATGTTGTAGAAGAACAGTCTTTGCCAATAGCAGATGATAAGAATGAATGCCACCAGGGTTATCTTGCTTTGAGATGCTTCCTTGGAAGCGATGCTCTCTTTGCAGACATTTGAAGAGAGTTCACCTTTTGCTAACAGCTAGCATGATCTTCTCTTTCCCAACTGGAATGTTTACATACCCTTCAGGGCAGTGTTAAACAGCAAAAGCAAATTGGCTCTTTACTTTCAAATCAATATTTGTATAATTATATAACTGAATGGAATTGCAGGCCTAGACATCTATAATATTAATCTACATCTACTGGAGCATATTACAGCAGCTACATTTGAATTTGCTGTTTAACATCTCTCTGGTGCTGCAATGCGTGACTGTAAAGGAGGCTGCTTTTGTTTTATAGCTGTAACTGTCATGGTGTGTGACAGCTGCCCCAAAGGTATCCCCCTTTGATTGCCTTCTGTTCAGGAGCTTTCAGTGTTAGTGTTGCATCTGGAGCCAGGTGACTAATGAGTTACATATTCCATAGCAGCTGCCACTGGCTAAGCCAAAAGTAAGTGGCCTATTGAAACAGGAATTGCTCCCCACAAAGCTCTCTTCTAGAGTGACAAACATATCCAGGATCTGCTCCTGGTTATTTTCAGCTAGATTTGCCCATAGTTCAGCTGCTCCCTTAATTATGCATTTGGAGTAAAGCTAACCATAGGACTCATTTATTAGAGCAGTTATACTCTGTTTGGTGCTTGAATTATTAAATGTCCCCCTTTCCTCAGAATTCATCCAGTTGGCAAAGGACTTTGAGGATTTCCGTAAAAAGTGGCAGAGAACAGACCATGAGCTGGGAAAATACAAAGATCTTTTGATGAAAGCGGAGACTGAGCGTAGCGCTCTGGATGTTAAGCTGAAGCATGCACGTAATCAGGTGGATGTAGAGATCAAACGGAGACAGCGAGCTGAAGCTGACTGCGAAAAGCTGGTGTGTATCATTTTCTATGCTAGATGGTGATTGTGGGGGAGGGGGAAGCATCATCGGATAGTTTCCATTTGCCAGATATACCCAATTTCTTCTTCCACATTAAAGAACTGAAAACGACCTGCTCTTTGACAACTTGCTCAAGATTAGAGTTAAAATTGCAGCCTAAGATTCCTATTCTTTATAATTTGAAATTAAAATTTTTTCTTTAAACTTGAAGCTATTATTTAGTAGACAGATTTCAAATGAGAATTTAAAGAATTAAAATTAGGGGGGAAGACAGAGAAACCCTAGTGTACTTGAGCTCTCACGAGATACTGGCCATCCCTCATTGTTTATTATAAGTGTTACCCAAAATATGCATCCTTATATGAATAGCTGGTATTTTGACATTGATACAGGCAAAACAACTCGTAACTCTTCCCTTTATCACTGCTCTCTACTTCAGAGGCCAGATGTAGTCAACTACTCGAGCAATGTGACCAACATAGAACACTATCATTTTGAAGTGCCAGGGTGGGTCACAGTGCAAAGGAAAGCCTTTACTAGGAGGGACTAATCCATCTTGGAACAGTGTTGGATGCTTCAGTAAGCTCAAATTGTCTGCTTCCAGTGCATTACAGCTTTGTATTCATTTTAATGCATTTTACACCACCATTTAGAAAGGTGGGTGGTTACTTTGATCCATAAAAGCCAATAATTGTCCTGATAAAATGACACTAAAGTGTTTTTGCTATTTGAAATCTATTTTAAGACTCTCATTTTGCATCATTCTCGTCTTGGATTAGCAGTTTGATTCAAAAGTCTTGTAGCAGAAACCCCACTATTCTAGATGGAGTTCATTTTACCAGTCAGAAATCAGACACACAATCTGTGCTTGATGTGAATTAATATGCTGTTGGTGTAGCAGCCTTCCTGAAGGTCCATTTGCATAATGCTGTATTTAATGTCTTCTGGTCTGCCTGTCCCACAAATTTCAGGTGAGACTTTCTCCCCTGGCTAGTTATGATGTTTTGCCCTGCTTTGGTCTGTAGGAACGACAGATTCAGCTGATTCGAGAGATGCTCATGTGTGACACATCTGGCAGCATTCAACTGAGTGAGGAGCAAAAATCAGCTCTGGCTTTTCTCAACAGAGGCCAACCATCCAGCGGCAATACTGGGAACAAAAGGTGTAGGAACTGCATCTGTTGTTATCTGATCACAAGCAACACAGCTGCCAGAAAGTTCCTGTTATCTGAACTCTTAAATATAACTGCTTCTAGAATATGTGTTGAAAAAAGCAAGAAAAGATTTTGGGGGAAGAGTGGGTGGGGAATAAAGGTCCCTATTTTATTTTATCTTTTCTCATATGGTTCTCTCCCTGGCCTCCTAAGTTGTCTCCACTCCTGTCCTCACCTCTTTTTCCACAGAGCACTCTGCTTCAAAGCAGAAATCATATCCTACTACCACTTGGTTCGAACCATCCAAAAGCTTCCGAGTGTCACTAGGATCGTGCAAACGTCTCCCTATGGTCTGTGAGGCCTCCTGCACTGTCTCCTCTCAGCCTCCTTTTCCCAGTGGCTGTCCCAGCCACACTTCTCTGTGTCCCTCAAGCTGGCCCACTTCTACTCACTTTAGGTCTGCTCCACCTATTAAAATTCTCTTCTACTCCTCCCCAGACCTTTGCTTCTTTTCCTCCTTGGTACCACTGAGGTTCCAGCTCAACAGCCATCCCTCCAGAAAAGTCTGTTCTGAAACCACTTTACCTTAAGCAGGCATCATCACATTCTTTCACATTTACCTACGTTATTTTCTTCTGAGCATAGCACCACTTATCTTAGGATATTGTTTTACCATTGGTAAAATTTTGATGTTGGTACTGAACTGCACATCAATAACTAATCCTGCATATTGCTCAGAAATCTAAAGGTGAAAGTGGCAGTTCAGCAAGACTTGCAGTGTTTACTCTCCAGAGAGCTCTTGTAGCTCTTATGGTTTAGAAAGGCTTCTGTGAGCCAAGACCAGACAATAATTTTGGTTCCACTGCTCCACTGTTTAAAATAGTCTTAACCAGACTTTGAATTTAGCACCCCCAGTACAATAAGTAGGGAAAGGTCAGCACTCTTAGAGCTATTTGTTTTGTTTCCTGGTTATTTACGGGGCCTCTTTATAACTAAGAAGATGTATGGGCTTAATTTCTTAAAAAGCCAGGGCTGGGTAATACTTTCTTTTATAGAAAGCAGCACAATTGGGATCAAATTAAACTTCATTCTTTGGCTTTGTGAATTTTTAGTAGACTATAGTATGAACTCAGCAGAGAATAGCACTCATAACCCTGACTATAACTTTCAACTGCTGTTTTAAGGCTTTTGCAGAAAAAGTAGCTCTGCTGCATCTGTATTCATGCACACACACTCCCCCATGGAAACCATGAGAAGCAACCTACCGCAGGGTTTGAGCTTGTAGTTGTCTCCATAGAAAAGATTTTTCTATGAAATTGCTGCTGTTACCTGACCAGTAGAACTTGTTCTGAATGTTGGTGAATTTTATTTCCCATAGTCTTCTGTATCTAACACTGTGTTGTTTCATTGATCTAGACTGTCAACCATTGATGAATCCGGTTCCATTTTATCAGATATCAGCTTTGACAAGACTGATGAATCACTGGTAATAAGCATTTATTGTCTGAGAATTATGTACTTTTCTTACCCTTGCTCCCTCAGGAACATCTCTCCTGTCCTCTCTTCTGAATATTGCCCTCTCTTCTGAACATCGTGTATTACTGTTTTATTAGTTGGCTATTGATTCTGAGTTAGCAATTTAAAATATAAATCCACATGAGCTATACATTTATTTAGTTTCTGGAAGTAAGAATATAGGATTCAGGATTTGGCATGAGGTTGAGTTTATTTAATATTGGTCACTGAGCTGTGTGTACTAACTGATTGTATTTTGACTTATTAAAGCCCCAGCTAGTAATAAAATTAGCAAGATTGTAACCAGGGAGGGGTTGTTTCTCTCTTTTTTGAGTTGGAGTCTCACTTTGTCGCCCAGGCTAGAGTGCAGTGGTAGGCTCATGGCCACCCGAGTGTCGACCTGCTGGGCTCCAGTGATCCTTCCACTTCAGCCTTCCAAGTAGCCAGAACTACAGGGGTACACTACCATGCCCAGCTAATTTTTTCAAAATTTATTGTAGAGACAAGGTCTTGCCAAGTTGCCCAGGCTGGTCTCAAACCTGCGTGCTCAGGCAATCCTCTCACCTTGACTTCCCAAAGTGCTGGGATTACAGGCTGAGCCACTGAGCCCAGCATATTGTTTCTCTTGGAGTGAATAGAATTGTGCCTTATTTCTGAATTAGTTTGGTTCTTGAGGAAAGTATAGTTGTACTTTACAATTAGAAAGAAAACAAGGTCCTGGGATTTCAGCCAGAAGACTGTGATAAGACTTTCTAGGCACTACATAAGGCTGTGATCAACAATGGTTAACATGTCTAAATTCTTTGTGCCCTGCTTTTATGGGGCAGTAACCTTTTCTGATTTTTTTTTTTTTGAGTATGTGTCTCACTCTGTCGCCTAGGCTGGGGTGCAGTGGCATGCTCATGGCCACCACAGCCTAGACCTGCTGGGCTCAGGTGATCCTTCCGCCTCAGCCTTTCAAGTAGCTGGAACTACAGGTGTGGCGCCACCATACCCAGCTAATTTTTTGTTTTATTGTAGAGATGAGGTCTCACCAAGTTGCCCAGATGGGTCTCGAACCCACGGGCTCAGGCAATCCTCTCACCTCTGCCTCCCAAAGAGCTTGGATTACAGGTGTGAGTTGCCGCGCCCCACTAGTAGCTTTTTTCTTTTTTTTTTTTTTTGAGTTGGAGTCTCACTCTGTCGCCCAGACTGGAGTGCAGTGGCCACTCCCGGCCACCGCAGCCTCGACCTGCTGGGCTCCGGCGATCCTTCCGCCTCAGCCTTCCAAGTAGCCGGAATTACAGGCTTGTGCTACCACACCCGGCTGATTTTTTGATTTATTGTAGAGATGAGGTCTCGCTGCCCAGGTGGGTCTCGAACCTGCGGGCTCAGGTAATCCGCTCACCTCAGCCTCCCAAAGGCGCAGGATTACAGGCTGAGCCACTGAGCCCAGCTCCTTTTTCTTAACTTATGGTGAAGTTCTGCATAAAAGGTCATCTCCTCATATAGTCTTTGTTGTTTAGGAGACTGGTAGTTCATTGGTTTGTATATCCTTTCTGTTGCTGACTGAAAGCTAGCAAACAAAACAATAAATCAGAGGAAGTTATTGGTGGTTGGTAGAGCAAGTGACATCTATGTGTTACATGGCTAAGGATTTTCTATCCAAATTCAGTGTTTGACTAGGGGAAAAAATGGGCATCTTATAAATACAAATGTTAGGCATCACCTTGTTGAAATAATGAACTATATAGAATAGGGATATATAATAAAATCAACTAGACCATATTATCAGCTGATTTTGGAGCTAGACCTATGATGATATTTGTTGAACTGAAGCTGAATCACACAACCGGAAACTAAATTGTATGACCAGGAATTGGAGAAATTAAGTTTATTTAGCTGAGCTACTCTTTGCTATATGTGACTGCTTCTGTATACTGTATTTTCAGAGATGATCAGGAATAAGGAAATCATAGGTAACTACTAAATGGATGCCAATAGCTAAAATAGGTGAATTGAAACTAGACCATGTGTAAAAGACAAATAATTTTTCAGTGGTAAACCTCTTTTTTGGGGGCCCAAGTTCCTAAACTAGAACTTTCTAAAGTAGCAATATTGTACAGAACGTCTGGTTAGATAATAGCAGTCCCTTAAGGGCAAGAATTCATCTAACTCAACTAACTTTCTGTAAGTTTAGTGCCTAACTTTCTGTAAGTTCTAAAACTAATTATAAAAATAATCAGAAATAAAGGACTAGGCACTGGAAATGATCACAACAGAAGTTGATTCTTTTTTTTTTTTTTTTTTGTCTTTTTTTTGAGTTGAAGTCTCACTCTGTCACCCAGACTGGAGTGCAGTAGCCGCTCCCAGCCACTGCAGCCTTGACCTGCTGGGCTCCGGTGATTCTTCCGCCTCAGTCTTCTGAGTAGCTGGAACCACAGGTGTGCACTACCACACCCGGCTAATTTTTTGATTTATTGTAGAGATGAGGTCTTGCCAAGTTACCCAGGTGGGTCTCAAACCCACGGGCTCACGCAGTCCACTCACCTCGGCCTCCCAAAGTGCGGGATTACAGGCTGAGCCACCGAGCCCGGCAGAAGTTGATTCTTTAACCTTTTCTTGCCTCTGTGGTATTGATTCCTGATTCTATTATAATAGCTTCAATTTTTGAAAGAAAGCATGTCAACATGCTATATAACTTTATAGTTACAACACTTGAGACCATCCCTTTCCTCTCCCTGAATTGTACATTAGGCCATCTAACTCAAGAAGCCTTTAAAGTTTTCTGTAAATTTATTTGCACAGAGTTTAGAGGAGACCTAACCAAAGAAATTAATACAGTGTAATTGTCTACAGGATTGGGATTCTTCTTTGGTGAAGACTTTCAAGCTGAAGAAAAGAGAAAAGAGGGTTTGTTTCTTTTCTTTTTTTTTTTTTAAATAAAGTAACAGTAAAAGAGTTTTCTTTGAAAATGTTGCCGTGATACTGCATTCCTGACACATTGCTCTAGCCATTGTTAAGTACATATTACAAATGAATTCATGCTCTGGGGGCGGTATTGATATTATTGAAGTAGTAACTTGCAAAAGAATCTTGTCCTATTTCACTGGTCTGGGCTGCATCTCAATTCATTCATACAGTGGAAAAGAATATACTTAAGTTTGTTTTGAATTGTCATATGAATTTTACACAGAGCTTTTGTGCTCTAATATAAGCTTCAGATGAAATATGTGTATAATGGGATCTATAGAGATCTGTGTGTGCTTGTTTAAGGTACTTAATGTGTTTCCAAAGACTGTCCTTAGATAGGATTACAGCTCTATTTTTTAATGGTGCTGTCATCTAAATTTCTCTAAAGCTTGCTCATTTTTTCTAGGACATTGAGGGCATTCTTTTGTTGGTACAACTTGTTCTCTATGTAGAAATAGGCAAAGAGAAAGAGAGTACATTGTTTGTTATTTACTATAGCCCTGGTCCCCAGGACTTTCATCTATGTTGTCTGATGGGGTAATTTTAGCTTCCATGCTTCAGATGTACTTGGCATTAAAGTTACTGCTCTTTACCTTCTGTCTAGCGCTCAAATAGCCGACAGTTCATTGATGGTCCCCCCGGACCTGCAAAGAAAACTCGTTCCATTAGTTCCACAGCAGACCAGGTAAGAGGAGTCAGGCCAAGAGAACTGTGGTCTTGAACACACTGGAGTTTAGTAACCCCAAGCATTAACACTCCTCTGAGTCAACACTGGAGTATTATTTTGAGAGAGATGTTTGGTGAGTTTTTCTTATGTAATAGGATCCTTATCATCCACATGAATGGAATTGCTGTGATTAAGTAAACAACGAGTTGTTTACTCTCTATGTTTGAGTCTTAACTGCTTGTAGATATACTCTATGTTTATATTTTATATAAAATATAATAGGGCATTGAGGGCATTCTTTTGTTGGTACATATATATATTTTATATATATACATTTTATATATAATTTTTTTTGGGTGGGGGGGAGCCAGAGTCTCACTCTGACGCCCAGGCTGGAGTGTAGTGGCATGCTCATGGCTACCACAGCCTTGATCTGCTGGGCTCAGGCGATCCTTCCACCTTAGCCTTCCAAGTAGCTGGAACTACATGCACATGCCACCATGTCTGGCTAATTTTTAAATTTATTGTAGAGACGAGGTCTCAACAAGTTGCCCAGGCTGGTCTCCAACCCCTGGTCTCAGGCATTCCTTTCGCCTCTGCCTCTGAAAGTGCTGGGGTTATAGGTGTGAGCCACTGCACTCGGCTCTATATTTACATTCTTATTTGAGTTGGAGTCTCACTCTGTCACCCAGACTGGAGTGCAGTGGCTGCTCCTGGCCACTGCAGCCTCGACCTGCTGGGCTCCGGTGATCCTTGCGCCTCAGCCTTCCAAATAGCTGGAACTACAGGCGTGCGCTACCATGTCCAGCTAATTTTTTTATTTTATTGTAGAGATGAGGTCTCACCAAGTTGCCCAGGAGGGTCTCAAACCCGCGGGCTCCCAAAGTGCTGGGATTACAGGCTGAGCCACCAAGCCTGGCTTATATTTACATTCTTAAATGTAAGATTTCAGCTTAAGAGCCTTTGGACTGGCCTTAAGTCTTGACTAAGACCTAATGAGGTTTTTTCACCTGCTCCAAAATACCCTACAGTGGAGGTTAAGCTAGAGTCATTTATACTTGCCCTTCCCTCATTACTACTTTTGTTGCAGGGGAATGAATCTATTGTTGCAAAAACTACAGTGACTGTTCCCAATGATGGAGGGCCCATTGAAGCTGTGTCCACTATTGAGACTGTGCCATACTGGACCAGGAGCCAAAGGAAAACAGGTCCATTGGTTTTGTGACTAAATTGCCTGTGTAAAGCAACTGGTAGCATTTGGGAAAGTTAGTTCTTAGAACCCTCCTGAGGCGGGGATTGGATGTAGGGTAGTTTCTTACTGCTGTTTACTGAGGACCAGAGAGAGACCTGCTTGTGTCATGCTTTACCTTTTGGGTCGCTAGCCCACTAGTGCATAACTTTAGTTTTTCTTCGTTTATTTCTGGTTATGATTACAGGTTATTGTTTATCTACCAATTAAAATTGGGGCTAAAATTTAGAAGGAACAAATATTTAAGACACTAAGTTTAAAGTGTCTTGTTTTCTAGGTGCTTTACAACCTTGGAACAGTGACTCTACCCTGGGCAGCAGGCAGCTGGAGTCCAGAACTGAGACAGACAGTGCAGGCACGCAGCAAAGTCATGGAGGGATGCGCCTGCATGACTTCGTCTCTAAGACGGTAAACCTCTGATTGCTCCTTTTTGTTTTGGGCATGTTTAACTTTTTTTTAAGTAAACAACCCTCAGTTGTTTACTCTCTAGTTATGAAAGTAATAGGAGCAAACTTAAGTGTTATAAAGTCAAATGTCAAATTTTCTTCCTCTTTCCAGTCCCATTCTCCAGGGGTAACTATTGGTTACAGAAAGGATCTTCCACTTGTGTGAATAATATTAGAGAGAGTACCCTTTCAGAAGCAATTGTTAGTACATTTTAGTAATCCATGTTTTCATTCTATTTTTGAATATAGCACCTTAGGTTTTAAAAATGTTTTAACTTTGTACCATTTTATTTTCTCATAAAAACCCAAGCAAATTAACTGAGACTCAGAGGAATTAATTGACTTGTTGGAGCCACATAATAAGAAGTGGCAGATTTAACATCCAGGTTTTCTGACTCCTGTCATGTTTTTTCCACTGCTTTAAACTGCTGCCTTCCAGCTGCATGCCTTTAGGCAAGTTACTTAACCTCTTTTTGCTTCTATTTCCTCATCTTAAAACGAAGAAAGCGAAAACCACCTTACAGGATTATTGTAAGGAAAACATAAATACACGTATTAGAAATACATATATTAGAAAGTTTTTTTGGCACATACTAGGTGCTCAATGACTGTTGATAGATGTTATTAATTTTCCAATTCATACCACGTTGTTCCTTCTGCTGTTTTATCCCAGGTGATTAAACCTGAATCCTGTGTTCCATGTGGAAAGCGGATAAAATTTGGTAAGCTGTCTCTGAAGTGTCGAGACTGTCGAGTGGTCTCTCATCCAGAATGTCGGGACCGTTGTCCTCTTCCCTGCATTCCTACCCTGATAGGAACACCTGTCAAGATTGGAGAGGTATGACTTATAGGAGCCATCATTGTTTTATGGCTTCTTTATTAGCCTTTCAGAGGCTTAATTCAGTTTTTATTCTAAAATTAATACTGCCAAACATATTTCTTTCCACGAATAATGAATAGAAATTGTAATATGTTTACTTGTACAAGAGTCCTGTTTGGGTTTGTCTATCTGTTTAATACCTTTTCTCCCTTCTTCCATTCTTCCCTCCCCTCTCCTCCCTTTCCCATCTTTTTGAAAACTGTCAGACACATACAAAACTAAAGACATTAGTATAACTAATCCCTGGTTCTTAGCATTTAATTTTCATGATTACTATCTCATATCTATTTTTTTTTTAATGGCCATTCTTGACTTAGCAATACCCTCATCTCCTCCTCCTGACCCTATCCGGTAAATTATTTTGAAACAAGTCCTAGCATCACATATTTTTGTAGAGACAGGGTCCTGTTATGTTGCTGAGGCTGGTTTCAAACTGGCCTCAAGAAATCCTTCTACCTTGTCCTCCCAGAGTGCTGGGATTATAGGGATGAGTCACTGTGTTTGGCCTACAGCCATCATATAATTTTAGCCATGAATATTCTTGCTTTTATGTTAGAGATATTCCGTTCTAGGCTATCAAGATTAAGTTGCTTATTTCTTTTTTTGTTTTTTTTTTTTTTTGAGTTGGAGTCTCACTCTGTCGCCCAGACTGGAGTGCAGTGGCCGCTCCCGGCCACCGCAGCCTCGACCTGCTGGGCTCTGGCGATCCTTCCGCCTCATCCTTCCAAGTAGCCGGAATTACAGGCACGCGCTACCATGTCCGGCTGATTTTTTTGATTTA